TAAATTTTTTCAGATTTTTTGGCAGGGTGCGCCGTAGAAGTAAAAATCAAAAACCGATATTTTCGGTGTTATTCGCGTGAAAAAGCAATTTATACTTTGAATTGTTGTATTCCCTTTAATGAATAACTATATTTTATGGTTTTAAAACAATTTTATGTTGAATAGAACAGTGTATAGAATAGAAAAACAAGAATAAGTCGCGGCAATATTGGAATTATTGGGTCACGACGAGAAAAGTATAAAAATACTGATTCTTGATTAATAATAAAATTGTTTATTCTTCCTGCTGTAATAACAAAACAGATATAGTGAATTGCGATATACCCTTTCACGGCGAGGATTTTTACAATGATCATTTTCGTTGCTTGCAGCATACGTTTTTATCTACCCTCAGTGGGTGGAGGCGTCAAAGTCGAGAAGGAGAATTGGGTGTCGTTTGATTAGTCATTAATCTTCTACATTCACGTATATAAATACCGAGTGCATATTCTAAACTATCATATACATACATTTATATTTTTCATAAAAATTTAGTTGCTTACGTAGAATTAAAAAAAAATATTTGATTTTAATAAGTTTTCGGAACGTAACCCCCCTTTTTGTACTGGCTTTGAGTCTCATACAATACGGTTTCACACAACACGGCATTTTCTAGGAACCTATATACCGTGTTGTAGGAGGGTTACCTGTATGTATAATTGTTAACACGTATATATATTTGATAATAAATTTAAGGTGTTCGTAAATAGTTATTGTACTTATCTATTTACTACATAACACGAATTTTGTGGGAGCCAAGAAGCGACTTGATCTCTTTTGGATTAGATCGAGATAAACACTCGAACAGGGTAACCGTCTGAACCTTCTGTGGGTCGTGAATATTATTGTTTGTGATTGAGTTGACATTCGTGCAAGTGTTTATTCCTGTGTGGAAAATAAAATGGTGTGAACCAGCTGCTGCAATCCTTTTCTGATCTTGAATCATTCCGAGCATTGTAAAGGAAGTTTCCAGACTTCGAGTTCGGTGAATATATGTGTCATAGTTGCCGGTTAAGGTGCAGTGGGTTGCCTGATACGTCAGAATTTCTGAATATTCTTACAGTATCATTATGCCATTTGAAGTTGCAGATGATAATAATGTTGATTTCGATGATAGTATACATAAAATCGCGGTAAACTTTATCTGATTTAATAGAAAAGTATGGTCTTATAATTAAATTTATAATTAAAAATTGTAAAAATAATTAATTAATCGTTGGCGCATTTGGCTATTTGTTTTATCGAACGCTTATTAATATGATAGAATATTTATCCATCGACCCAATTTCCTATTATATCCCATCCCATTCCGATATAAGAATACTCACAATCGTGGTTTCTATTGAACAGTGCCAATTTCAATGTCTTCAGCAGTAAGTGCCATTGACCATGACTGCATTCCCAAAAAATTAACCATATTATACCCTGCAGTGATCGCAAACCCTCTAGAACAATACAGGTATAGCTACCTTGTCACTTGTATCCCGCAATAGAGCCCCAACTGTTGCAACTGAAGGGTGTTATCTCTGCTAACTACCATGCAAAGATTTTAATAAATTGGATTTAATCAGGTATCAAAATATCTAGGACGAAAGAAAATGTAGGTTTAGAACATCGCCATTATGTGCGTGAATACAATTTTTTGATTGCTTATTGCATTTGTCATGCAGACAGATACAATATGCCAACAACAGTCCATAATGTATTGTTTCATTCCGCGGACTTCATCGAGCACGCAATCCTACCCAGTAGAACAATTTGAAGATGTAGTCTAGGAAGCTTGAAACAAAGATATCTAAAAATATAGAAAACATTATTTGAGAAATTTTTCTAAAACGAAAAGAAAATATGGCAATACGAATTGCCTTTCGTGACATTTAATTTCGAAGGATAGTAAAAGAATAAACACAAGTTCAATGATGGAACAAATAGCACACAGTAGCAATCGGAGAGTCGTCTACGAACCTTTCAAAGGAATAATCTTGTTATTTTTCTGGACATTATTGTTGGGATTGTGTTTGGTTCATTCTAAACAATTCTAAAGAACTCATTATTATTTCAACACATCTATTTTTATTTTAACAATGAACGTACATAGGTATTTGTATACGTGTTCCCGCACAACGCCATTACACACTACCGGGCACTCTACTCCGGTATTCCCCCTCTTATCCCTGTTCCAGCGCTACCAACTACAATCAGTACAAAATAACTACACAATTATTCCATACTTTTACTTAAAATTTGTTATCCATGTACGGTCAGCTTTAAATGTCGGTAAATTTTTTCTTATGTTTTCCTTGTACAGTCTCCATCGACGTAGATCAACGTCATGTGCATATAATTACTCTTAATAGTCAAGCTTCCATGAATTTATTAGACGTTTATTTTGCGATACATTTTATTTTCCTTTTTTTGAGAGCCTCCACATTCAACTTGCCACATTCAAAGTCCACCACGTAACATTCTTTCAGATCTTACATGCTGTTGTAATGTTTTACAGCTTTTCTCTTGTACTTGAAAGTAATAAATTCTTCATCATGCCCACAAACAGATTCCATTTCGTAAATATCAAGAGATTCGATCTATTCTTTTCATCTTGATCTAGTCAGTCCAAATCGACACCTTAAAATTTTGTTCCAACGGACATCCCATCCAGTTCTTTTAGTATGTAGTCTCGAAAATATATCTACCAAATATTGAATTGAAATTCGGAAAACTAACGAAATTATAGCCTGCTAAAATGTACCACGTGCAGGTATAACAACTGGACGTAAAACTTTAACGTTGTTTTCTTCGAAACTACATTTTTCGTCACTGCATAGACAATAACATGAAAACTATTCAAGATATCAACATCAAAGGTTATAGCCGAATAAGGGGGTCAAATGTGCCCCCAAACCGAATTGAACGAACGATGGGTTATTCGATAGCTTATCCAAAAAAACTCTTTGTGCCAATTTTTAACTTGAAATCTCGACCGTGGGGGTAGTAATGGGGTGAAAACGAAAATTATGTTTTTGTACAATTTCTCTTGACCTATTGAGTAAAAAAATGTAAACAAATTCAGAGACATTTCGGGTACCGGGGCACATACTTTGGGAGATTTTCAGATTTTTTGATTGAAGAACCAGGTAGTGAAAAATAAAAAACAGCAAAAAATGCCGAAAAATGTCGATTACGTATTGAAGGAGGTCCGGAACTACTTTTATACTATTACAGTAAACAGATATTGCTATTACCATTATTCTCAATTTTTTTCAGATTTTTCATTTTGGTGCGCCACAGTGAAAAAAAATAAAAACCGACTTTTTCCTCATTTTCTGCGTATTAGAGTAACTTACACGTTGAATTTTTATGCATTCTTCAATATATGAGTGTTTTGTAGACTATTTAATGTTTCTACACTAAGCAGAATTGCATAACAATTGAAACAAATAAAAAACAACCAACCATTCGGCACATATATCCTAAAAAATCCGACATTGGAACTGCTGGAAGTTTTTTTACCATAGGTTCTAGTCTCTCTTCTGGACTTAGTATTTTTTTTTCTTCATTATTTTTTTTCAAATTCTAACTACAATATTTTATATTTATTTATAAATGTTCTAAAAGTATTTTACAAATATTTTAACCTGAAATATGTATAAATATAATTTTGGAACGTTTTTTTGCATCTTTATTCTTTTTTGCCTATTTTTTTGAACTAGGATAACTGCGAAATATGCAATACTTTTTCTTTTATTAACAAAAAAGCAACCGAATATATGAAAGTATTCAGTACCTTTTCGTAAAATAACTACCATTGTGCCATTTTTCGCTATTTTGAAAAAATCTTAGTTTATGCGATAACCAAACTTATCTACATTAAGAATATCTTCGGTTTTCGGATTTCGGATAACTTGTTCGCAAAATATTACTTACGCAGTCACGGGCGCTGTACGTAAAAACAGTTGTTCGTTGATCAACAAAAACTGCGTATTCAATAGATATTATGCGTTGCAAAAATTCGTAAATGTAGTTAAATATATGTATATGCTTTAATAGCCCGCAAAAAAAAATCACAAAGAATCATCTTTTTTCTTGCCTACAAAGTAGAATTAAGGCCCCTTAAGGCTTTCGTGGCCTAAGTTTATACTCGAGTTCAAGATTTCCAGATGGATGTCGCGTCTATCCGGAAACCTTGAACTTCAGTAAAAAATAGTACCTTCAACGCTTCTTATAATTGAATCAAATAAAAGTTGTATCAAATTTTCTTCTACACTATTAATAAGCGCTGAACGTTGACCTTACGAACTAAAGACAATAGAAAGTTAAGTTCTGATATTTAGAGGATTTTAACATTTACCATTTCTATTTGAATATGTGTATTAAATATGAATGTAATGACTGAATTATGAAATTTCGTATTAATATCCAATCGATTCAACTAGAATAATGTAGCTTGCCCAACTTATTCAAGCATACGATAAATGTAAAAATTTGCTATCATATTTTGAACTGTATTAGATTTACGATAAGTATTTTTCATAAAAATATTTCACTATTAAATTTATTTTCTTTTTAACTATTTATCTCTACGACCTTCCGAAATAGGCACTTAAAATGTTTTGTATTGAGTAAATTTTAAATGTCTGAAACGGATTAATTCAATTCACATTATTTCAGGTAGGAGAACTTAATTTAAAGTTCGAACAACTGGGAAATCGAACCATCTGTCTTTTGAAACAGATTGTGTTTGAACTTCGAGAATCCACTCTATCCCGTGTAATCCAACTATTTCGTTTTAATCAATTTTCTCTAGAACATATTTAAATATAAAACTTGTCCCGGAACGTGTTATAAAAGAGAGAAATATTTTCTGAAATAATTTACTGTACTCATTAAATATTCTGTTTTGCAAGATAATTATTATTTTGCCAGTGCACCAACTTCATTGGTTGTTTATTTTCTTTTTGCAGAATTTCTGAAACTCACGCCGTGCCTGCAATCGATAGGACCCATGATGGATCTCTGCAGCAAAAAGTACCAGAGAATAATCCAGAATTTCGAAAAGCAAGTTACCACGTCGAATACGAACAAAACCCTCAAATGCGTTTGCTGGTAAGTATATATCATTATCCTCCAAAGGGATTTATTTTAATTTTTTAAACGAGTCATTTCGTCGTCGAAAACACAGCCTGTATTGAGCTGCAAAAATGCATCAATGGAATCGAGTATACTTTTCCTACGCGGAGTAAATACTTCTGATATCTAGATAGACTCAAAGGAAATTAAGTATCAGTATAATTAAAGACAAACACCTTTTGATGGTGTTTATACAGTGGCTCGTGAAAGTACAGTTGCTCCTCGAAGTACGCAAGGGTTCGGGACGCTGGCGTACCGCATAACTGAAAATCCGCGTATTTCTAAGACCAATTGACACCCCTACCCCTACACTTCAAATCTCTGTTAACTGGACACCATAATACAAGGGTTACAGAAAAATCATGCGTACATTATATTATATTTTGCGTATAATATATGTGAAGTAAATTCAATGTATGTAGAATATATGATACATTTATTGCAAAGATGTACTGAAACAGCATCACAAAAGTATTCGAACAGTATTAATTATACACACCCTATTTTGTATTAACGTTGCGTTAGGCCTTCGACTTCAATTACGATTTTGAGACTTATTGTATACTGTGAGCTAACTTTCTGGTTATTTTTAATTCGATAAAATTCTATATTTGTAAAATTGTTTTTATTTTAATACATTTTTCGAATTTATGCCGAAATTGTTTAATTTCATACCGATCTTTGTCCAGAAATGTTCACTGGGGTTAATGCCCGGACTATATGATGTATGTGATACATGTCAGTGTGCTGTACAGCGTGTTCGCGGGAATATTAGCCATCATTTGTTTCGGAATTGGTAAATGTATCAAAAGAATGAAAGAGGAAAAAGTTTAGTATCTCATATGATTAACGTGATATTGTGTACAAATTTTTTATACTTGCAATAATTTTTAAGAAATGTAGGTGACCTTCAATTTTTTAAATAAATTTTTTGTATGCTATTTGAAAGCGTACCTACATCAAGACAAGTTCAACCGTATTCTATACTAAGGCCTTCAAGGTAATACAAGATCAGAAATGAAAGAATCATTTCAGCGCACTCCGCCTAGTAATTCCAGATGAATTTTTTAAATAACAAAGGACAATGTTAAGTCCTAGAGGGGTTTACTGACCCAAGAGCGTACAGCATATGCTATACACCGTTGGAAAGGTCTCGCCAAGGCGAATCGACTGATACCATTTTTAACTTCGATATCAGATGGGATAATGTCGAAAAATGGCCTCAAAGTTCGAGATTTTGCGGTTTTGAACAAAAGAAACCGGTAGTAAAAGCCCATCCGGCCCGAGGGACCTCGGGTAGGCACCTGAGGAAAAACCGAGAGGTGTAAGCGATACTCTAGCAGATTGGAACGGCAAATGTGCCCCACCACCTTCATTTCAGTGCCGTGTTGGGCCTACGTTTGCCGCATGGTCCCCGCTCCAAATGCCCAGGGTGAAATCCCCAATGGATCAGTTTAACTTTTACAAATATTATCACATTTATTTAAAATATTGTGTATATGATCTAGATACTTGTCTTATAATAGTTACAACATTATGTTCATACTTAACTTAAGTTTAACATGCATATTTTTATTGTTTAAAGTTTTAGTACTGAACGTTCGAATATTTTCGAGACTCGCTGTACAAAAACGAACATTTTGTAGCAGTTTTATGTTTACGAAATATTATTAAATATTATATTAAGTTATAATATTAGTAAATTCAGTTATGCTTAATATTTTTATTTATTTATTGTTGAACTTTATTTATTAACAATATAATAACAGTGGATTTTAACGTAAGCAGTAATATATAAACTTTAATTAACACGTAGTTTCTTTTTTCATGCAAACGGAACGAACTGGAAATGAATGACAAAATAATTAATCAAAGCAAAAACGCAATATCACGGATCGATAATTTCGACGTCACTCCGCGTACCTCTATCGCACACACACAAACATTCATTCATTCAGATATCGTTGTCCTCCAACATTTACTAACAAACTAAAGACTTACATTCAATTAATTATGTAGTTTACATTATTGTTTTATAGTAGTAATGAAGAGAAAAAGTTCAAGAAAGGAATATAAAGTATTGTACGATAACGTCAAAGCTGTTTACTAATATACTACAGATGAATGAAGAAATCAATACAAGGATAGGTTAATAACATCATATACAGGATGTTCATTTGAAAACTTTACATCTAAATATTTCAAAAAACAATGCATTTCTAGGAAAAATTTTAAATACAAAACTTTTTTGGTTTTAGCGCTATTTTATTTGCTGAGCGTTTTCAAGGTTACTGAAAAATCAACTATGTTCTTTAAATAGAAACATATAGTTTTAATTATAGATTCTTATAAAATGGAAATTTTTTCAAATTCACTGCTGCTCCTAAAGTAGAAAATGGATTTCTTGCAACTAAAAATGATGAAGTAAAATTATTAATAATTCACCAAAACTACCAAGATTTTCTGATTTGTTGTCATTAGAATATACAGGGTATTTCACCTAACTTGACCACCTTAAATATATCGCTTATTTTGTATGATAGAAAAAAAAGTCAAGGGGAGAAAGTATTCTGTTCGAAGGCGCCAATACGGTGATGAATCGAATTTTTTTTCAAGGTCATTTTTTCGAGATTTCAAGGTCATCGTATTTTTTTTAAATGGGACCACATATTTTCGCTACAACAGTCTTATAGCTTATAAAAAGACGAATCCAACGATGTGCGATATGTTGACCTTCACGTGACCTTTAGCGAAGGAATTATGAAATGTTTGTCAGTAACTTCAGTACGCGTTCGGAGACGGTAAATGAAGGAATTTCAATTTCATTGAAACAGTGTACCGTGTAATTGTTTCTGGTGCTTATAAATAGATATTCATATTCTCCTTTCAACGGTTGAAGTATGTTTACAAGCATTATTATTGTAAGAGGGGAATGACCGAAGCGGGTCATGTACACTACAGCAGAAAAAGTGGAAATGATTTTATGATCGCCGGATCTTACGCCACTTGATTTCTTTCTGTGGGGGGCACCTAAAAAATACAGTTTACAATGATATTCCCACAACAGCAGAAAACATGCGACAAAGGATTCTACATGCATGTAGATCAATTACTGTAGAACAACTGAAAAATGTTCAGCAAGAATTTATTTACCGCCTCCAAAAATGTATCCAGGTTTATGGTGCACATTTTGAACACCTTCTAAAATAAACATTTAATTTAAGACTGTTTCAATGAAATTGAAATTCCTTCATTTACCGTCTCCGAACGCGTACTGAAGTTACTGACAAACATTTCATAATTCCTTCGCTAAAGGTCACGTGAAGGTCAACATATCGCACATCGTTGGATTCGTCTTTTTATAAGCTATAAGACTGTTGTAGCGAAAATATGTGGTCCCATTTAAAAAAAATACGATGACCTTGAAATCTCGAAAAAAATGACCTTGAAAAAAAAATTCGATCCATCACCGTATTGGCGCCTTCGAACAGAATACTTTCTCCCCTTGACATTTTTTTCTATCATACAAAATAAGCGATATATTTAAGGTGGTCAAGTTAGGTGAAATACCCTGTATAAAAGGTAACAAGTGAATTTTACAATAGATTGTATTATTGCTAAGCACAAAATAGAGAGCAGTTTGAAAACGTGTTATGATGATCATGTAAAACCATTATGTGATTCATTTTGTATAGCAAGTCACGTAAAATTTTGTGATTATTACGTGGTCACCAAAAAACATAAGGAAATTTGATTCTTATGGCTTAATTTTTCGTCCTCTGCTTTGGAAGCAACAAAATAAGAAATTTTTTATTCTCTTGTTTTTTTCAACAAAGTTTGATAAAAAATGTTCTATACAAATGTTTTTTTATTTCCTCTATAAAATATAAATCCGTAAGTAGAAACATAGACTTTAATTAAACAAAATAAAGTTGACATTCAAATAACCTTAAAAACTTTCGACAAATGAAAAGTAAATAGAACAGTGGGATTTCCTCTTTTTAGTGTTTATGGAGGGGAAAAGGGGTCAGGATCACTATTCAGCAAAATTCTATTTCATTTTTAATTGAATCTTTCTATAGTGACAGAAATAAAACTCTTACAAATAAAAATAAAGTAACGAAATATATTGGAAAGTCGAAATGCCATGTGCCGTTCTCTCGAAGGACCACCCAAAATATGATTGGGACAACCAATTAATGATGAAAGATTGATGCTTCTTGGACGATGAATCCGTTGCTCTTAAACGGGTGTTCGGCCATCTGTAGTCAAAATTTTAATGAGCGATAGTAGAGGCCAAAATAAGACGAAAATCAAGAATACTAATTTGTTGATGGAGGCTTCGTTGCATAGTTATTAACATTTAAAGTTCCGCCTGTAGAATGACAACCCGCTAAACAGCTGCGTTCGCGCGGACGGTTGCGGCAGGCCAGTGCTAGTGGTTCCCACGCAGCATGAAAAATTCTACTTACCGACATTATCGACAGCCTTAGATTTTTGTCCACTTATGGAAATGCGAACACCTTACGTTGAATAAGATTCAACCTGTCTTATGAAAATCCAGAAGGGCATATCAAAACTCGCCCGACGAGATTTTCACAGAGAAAGGGTGAATGCCAGTTCCAATACACAATGTTGTGAACAAAAATTACCCACTCGTGATTATACACGCCCCACGATTGTCCACAGTGTCCGCAAGTGTCCACAAATAATCCTTTCAGGCACTAACCACTATGCAATTAAATAAACACGCACCGCGATTATGTATACCTTGTATTACGCACGAATCCGGTATTTGTGCGGAGACTATGTATCGCTAACTTATTATGCTGCCCTTAATCTAAACTCCGTTGCCCCTACCAAGGTGACGGAGATGAGCATCGGTGAGAGAATTGGTCAGGCCAATTCTCAAAGTCGTCACTCTGCTGCTTAATGTCCAGATAGGCCATGCAGGGGTGAGCGAAAACGCTGCATTT